GTTGATGAGTCATTTTAACTGCTTTGAAAAACTATTCTGCCAAGCATGAATACTGCCCTTCAAAGTATTAAAGATATAAAGGATTTAGGGAATAAAGCATAACCCACAACTGTACACATTTTATAACATGTAACCAAAATATTCATTATTTTGTAAGTCACTATGACAATATTACATAAATAATTTTCTAATTTAATCCAGGATCCATTGCACATAATACATTTTCCTTTACTTTCAGTTTGGCAGAAGTTGTTAGAGTACTAAGATTTCCATAAATAGGTTAGACTGAACAACAAAATTTGACATGAAGCCATTTACTTAATTATATCATTTTAAATATATATGGCACATATTAAAGATCTTTTTCATTTATTTCAAATTACATTTTTATAGTATTATTTATTTTCATTTGAAAAATGAACAGAGTCTAGATTCAGATTGTTGCATTTTACTTACTATAAAATAAGTAAAACAAAATAATGATTCTTGAAACATGGTCTGTTTATTTCATTATACAATATCTTTGTTTTGGATTTTGAATATTTAGTGATATATTAGAAAATACGTATGTACATACTTGATTATGTGCACTGTAGTACTTGTAAGATCAAAAACAAGTATTCATTATATCTATTTTTATGAGTTTGCTTTTAAAGTTTAGCATATTGGATTCTTGATACTTTATGATGCCCCCATATCAATTTCATAAAACTCTATTCTCTCAAGAATTCTGGTCTCAGAACAGAGAAGATTATATTATAAAGAGTGTGTTTTGTAGTTGTTAAAAAGTGACTTATTAGCAAGTGGTAGGAAATTACTTCTTTAGCTCAGCTGGTAAAGCCCTCAACTATCTTGTGACAGATCTCTGGTTCAAATCAAAGGTGAGGAAATACATATATATATAAATGAAACAATATTAAAACATTTTAAAAACTCTTTAGTTTTGTAACTTCAAGAACACACTTCAATTTCTGACAAGTCCTATTTAAGATTGAGGTATTAAAGAATGACTTGATCAATTGGTATGTTGATAAATATTTGGCAAATGTATTTAGTTAACTGCATAAGTGACAAAGATATTGAATTTAAAGAATGGGTTAAACAATTGCCAACTCTGTTTTTCTATATATATTTTTAAGAGGATTATTTCGAGCTAGCTCTCTGTCAGGTTGTACAGCTTTACAACCAAGCTGGTTTTAAGCTGTATGATCTGAGGAACATAATAACATAATATTTTGGGACAACATGGGACCTATTTGTGCATCTTGGCTATTCCATCCTCAAAACTAAATTAAAATGATTAAATAAAATAAAAACAAAAAATTTTAAACCTAGCCCTTTTCATTAATATACTCATCAAGTTTTTCTTCAACTCACTTAAATTTACTGCCTCTACAACATCTGAAGGCAACCCATTCCAAAGGCCAACCACCCTGTTACAAAAATAAAACTGTCTTAGCTAAAGATGACTCCTACTTTGCCACAATTTATATTTGTGTCCCCTTGTCCTACTATTCTCATTGTTAAATATAAAAAAAAGATAATACATCAACACTATAATTCCCTTTACAATCTTAAACACCTCAATCAGATCCCCCCTAACTCTTCTTTCTTCAAGAGAAAAC